GAACGAGGCACCACCAATTGCAAATGCTCGTCCTTGCCGTTTGTTGATTCCCATTTCCTGCACAGAAGTCCGTTATGCAGCGTAAGGCTTTTCCACTGTGCCCATAAACCTTTCGTTACCGCGCTATATTGGGCGACGTCACTCCAACTTGGCTTGTTACCACTTCGTAGCCACTCCAGTATTGGTTTGATATCCGCATCTCTTTCCTGTTCTAATTTCATCGCATCATCTCCCCATGCCTCGTCAACAGTATCAGTCCTTATCACCTTAAGAAAAGCAATTTCCTTCTTGGCACAATGCTTGCAATCTTCCACGCATGGGCGTCTCGATAATGCATCTGCGTTGCCATGAATTCTTCCGCCGCGATGTTCGATTTCAAAGTCAAATTCCTGAAGTTGTTCCAACCATCTGGCTACTTGGCCTTCGGGATCCTTAAACTGAAGCAGCCATTTCAAAGCAGCGTGATCAGTTCTGATCAAAAATTTCCGTCCCAGTAAATACTTCTTGAAATGGTGCAGAGTTTTGACTACGGCCAGCAATTCCCTCCTGGTCACGCAATAATTCCTCTCCGGCTTGGATAGTGACTTGCTGAAGTAAGCAATAACCTTCTCCTGCTCACCATCGCGCTGTGAAAGGACACCTCCTATTCCGATATTGCTGGCATCCGTATCAACTACGAATATTCCTTTCGCGCTGGGGTATCCGAGAATTGGTGTGTTACAAAGCCGTTCTTTTAGTTCTCGAAAGGCTTGCTCACAATCCTCGTCCCATATAAAGGTACGTTTCTCCTCTGTCAATCGATGCAATGGCTTGGCAATGTCTGAGAATCCTTTCACAAACCGCCGATAATACGAGCATAATCCAAGAAATGCCCGAACTTGCGTTTTGTCTTTAGGTGTTGGCCATTCCTTAACAGCGGCAGTCTTGGCTGGATCAGTATCAATTCCTCTCTCAGAAATAACATGTCCTAGATAATTCACTTCGCGCTTAAAGAAAGAGCATTTCTTTGGACTCAACTTTAAATTTGCTCCACGCAGCTTTTCGAGTACCCTTTCCAATTTCCTGAGATGATCATCAAAATCCCGTCCAACAATGATGATGTCATCGAGGTAAACTAGGCAGGTTTCGCCCAGTAGTCCCGCCAGCACCTGTTCCATCAAACGCTCAAAGGTTGCCGGTGCATTGCATAATCCAAATGGCATCACCTTAAATTGCCAGAGTCCCTTCCCAGTTGAGAATGCGGTCTTTTCCTTGTCCTTAGGATCCAAATCCACCTGCCAATAGCCGCTTTTCAGATCGAGCGTTGAAAACCATTTCATGCCACTCAGTGTGTCAAGTGTGTCATCGATTCTTGGTAACGGGTAGCTATCCTTCTTGGTTACATCATTCAATCGTCGATAGTCTACGCAAAACCTCGTTGAACCATCTTTCTTCTTGACAAGCACGACAGGTGAACACCAAGGGCTAGAAGAGGGCTCTATCACGTCATTTTTCCTCATATCGTCAATCATTTGTTCAACCTCTTTCTCACGAGCGAATGGTATACGTCTGGGCCTTTGACGAATTGGCATTGTATCACCTGTGTTTATTTTATGCTTCACCAAACCAGTTCGGCCAATATCACCATCGCTTCTTGAAAACACATCAGAGAATCGAAGAAGTAAATTTCTAGCTTTCATAGTCTCCACTTTTGTCAGACTTTTGTTTTCGTCTAAGATTTTCGTTACAAAGTCTATTCCCGCACTGTCCTTCTTCACAAGATTTTCCGAGCATTTTCTTATCCAGGCCACTTCTTCCAATACGCCCACAGGCTCTCCTTCTTCAATCGTAATTTTTGAATCACTGAAGTTGAATACCGGAATGCGGTTGACATCAGATGACCCCACGACAGTTCTTGCCGGTAGCCATGAGTTTACGTGTTCCGATTTATCAATCACAGCGCACCTTCGAGGTAAACTTCCTTCCCTCCTCCTAGGTAATGCAATTGGTACGAGAGTCTGTGATTTTGGTGCAAGAACAGTTCTTCTTAAACAGCAAACTTTTCCCAGGGTTCCACCCTTCATCGGAATTTCCTCAGTTCCACATAGTAATACTCCAGATTTTAAGTCGATGTTACACTGGTGCCCTTGCAGGAAATCAAGTCCCAGGATGCAGTCATCCAGAATTTTGGCCACAATAACCTCATGTCGATAAACATGTTCCCCAATTTTAATTGTTACATGCAATTTTCCACTTATCGGTATGCGCTGGCCGGTAGCTGATTTCATTCGTAGGCCAACAATTGGTTTAAGGTGTTTCCTGATGTTTTGCCCGAGCAGCCGAACATTCATCACCGTCCTTGAAGCTCCAGTATCTAACGTTAGCTGACTGTTTTTCCCGTTTACTTGACCGTCTATCACCAGAGTATTTCCATCGTTAGTTTGCTTGATGTAGATTGTTGGGGTTATTCCACTACCGGCCAGCGCCCACCCCGCAGCCCTGGCTGGATTTAGTTTTCCTGCTGGTCAGAAGTTGAGACCACCGCGTCCTGGCGGTTCACCTTCTTCGGGCAGTCGCTCCGCATGTGCCCACGCTCTCCGCATCCATAGCACATGAAGTTCCGACGGCGTGGAGGTACCTGCTCCGTTGTCGTCATTTCCCGCAGACGTAAGGTACGGGAGTTACCACGCACGGCTTCCACTTCCAGTGCATGGGCCAGAGCTTCTTTCATGTTCTTGTGATGGCCCAGATGAACAGCAGCTCGTACTTCGGGGTCCCGAACACCGTCAATGAATGCTTGGAGAAGCGTGCCTTCAATCATTGACGGAGTCGACCGGAAAGCTCGACGCACAAGTTTTTCGATTTCCACGTACCATTGTTGTAGACTCTCATTAGCACGCTGAGTACGCTCTTTTAATTGCGCTCTGTACACGTGCTCGAGGTGGCTGTCTCCAAAACGTGCCTCAAGTGCGTCGAGGAGGGCACTAAAGCTGAGATCCCCACTTGCGCCGATAGCTTCCAGCACTGAGAGCGCTTGATCACGGAGGGCCAGGGTGAGGGCTGACTGTGCTTCCTTCTGAGTCCAACCATAAGCCTCCATAAGTGTCTCAAACTGTAGCTTGAACGCGGTCCAAGATGTTGTTCCGTCGTAATGGGGAATCTTGAGCCCTTTCGTTGCGCTTGAGGCCACATTTGGGGTGTCAAAAACGGCTGCAAGACGGCTTCGGCTCTTCAAAGGGCTTGGGCTTGCCACTTCCTGTTTGATTTTGGAGATCTCTTCTTCCACTCTCTCCTCTATCGCCATGACGCGATATTCCAACTTGCCTAACCCTTCCTCCACTTCTTGTACCCGTTCGACAGCCTTTTGCAGTCCCTTCGTGAAATCCCTGTGCATCTCTTCCAAGCGACGCGCTTGCTCCTCTTGGCGGCGAGCTTGATCCTCTTGGCGACGAGCTTGATCTTCTTTCAGCTCCCGAAGCTGTTCTGCCTGACAGCGTGCTTGCTCTTCTTGGCGGCGCGCTTGCTCTTCTTGGCGGCGCGCTTGCTCTTCTTGGCGGCGCGCTTGCTCTTCATGGCGGCGCGCTTGCTCTTCTTGGCGGCGCGCTTGCTCTTCTCTCAGCTCCCGCAGCTGTTCTGCCTGACAGCGCGCTTGCTCTTCTTGGCGGCGCGCTTGCTCTGCCATCATTTGCTGCAGCTGTAGCAGAAGATCCACCTGCATAGGCTTGGCTTCTGCATCGCTGGTTTGAGCTGCAGCACCCTCTTCCCTCACACGCTGCGCTTCTGACATAGCACGGGTACTCACTCCTCTTACGTCCTGCGGTACTAGCGGCATTTTTCTCCAATCCCACTTCTGACACCAAATGTTACGAGCCTGACGTCACGTTCCTGACTATGCGGGCTTGGGTAACGGGATTGGATGAAATGAAACACTAATACCGGTTTTCAGACTTTCTATTGCACTTAAGTTACAGCGTCCACGGAGTTAAGTTATCGGCGTTCCTCTCCAGCAGAGCCCGGCCGACTGACACAACTTTGCCGTTCACGCTGGCTTAACTCACTTAACTGACTGCACTTCACTATTTCACTGCACTTCACTATTTCACTCACTTTTCTTCTTTTTCACTTCTTCCTTTTCTTCCGAATCGCTTTAGACTTAGAACTCAACTGCCAGCGGTGAGCCGCAGTTCCGCTTATATACCCCCGGTCAGGTTCTGGAACATTCAATTTCGTTATTCTTTTTGATTGTCATGACTCCAGAACCTTCCAATAATTTCGTTATTCATTTTTATTTATTCTCCTTCTCGCTCTTTGATTTTTCATTACTTTCACACCAAAAGCTTCCAGAAAGTTCCACAAAAACTTCCATCAACTAAAAAACTTCATGCTTACGGCGGGACTCGAACTCGGGGTCTCTCTGGTGTAATCCACACGCCTTACCGATTACACCAACTCGTGTTGACAATTCACGACGAAATTTACAATCTCTAGGCAACGTTTGACAACCATCCATTGACGTCATGATGTCAAAGAGTTTGAACCACTTTTCCGTCACAATATAAAAGCGTACCTATTTCAAATTAAACTATAAAAATACGTTAACTTTTTTGTGTTAATGTAGTTAATTATAGTCGGGTCTGGTTGTGGTGGTGGCCTGGAAGTTATGGTGTCCGCTTCTCATGCATGAGGGTGATCGATACCTGGCAAGTCCCAATGTGATTTTTTCGAAGTTATATGTTGATAATTTCTATGATTATTTAGACACCACTGACATACGGCGAAGGAAAGCCGAAACCACCAATATGCCTTGAGCAAGCGTAGTGATTAATGCTCAAACTTCACCGCGTGAGAAAATGCCTTTGCTCAGCAGTGGGCACTTATAGGCTGACGATGTCATGTGATGTAGGTACAGTTAATTAAAAAAATGTTGTAGCTAGGCAACTAGATTACTTATCAAAGCAATCTAGTGTAGCTTGGTATGATTTTAATTTGATATGGTGTATTTGTATTGACAATCACTAAAAATGGATAGTTTGAACGAAAACTACCATTTAAGAAAATGGTACCTTCAGCGAGATGAAGTACCGACTCAAAGGATGATGAAGAAAAAGATGTCGCCTGCTCTCGCGGGAATATATTTTCAGTCGATGAACCAGAAACTGAAGCAAATTGCAGGTTTGGAGCCTTCACTGAAAGGCGGAGGAAATTGGTACCTACCACCCGAAGAATTGCTAAAGGGGCGTGCAGTCCTTAGACCAGTGCAAAAAAGAATACTAGCAAAACTTAACCACCATAGCATTGAGGATATTGGAGAAAAGTTAGATAAGACACACCAAAAGACAGTCGATACTGACAAGAGAAAGGTTATTACTGAAAATGATGAGAAGTGGAGACTAACTATTACAGATATTTACTACCAAGAATGGAAAGACCTTTCAAAAGAAGCGAAACAGAAAAATACTGAGCAAATAATAAAAGCTATCGAATCCTTTGCTTGTATGTATAGACAATCTATTCAAAGAATTGAATCTTTGTGCCACGAAGTAGTCACAGCAGACATAAATACAATAAAATCAAATATTCAGCGAACAATGACAAAGAAATATAAAGTAACTTTAAAATGTGAAGCAATTTCTATGACCAATGAATATGATAAAAAGTTGATCGAAGAAAAAGCTAAACTTAAAGCAGAGTTTATAGAAAACGTAGAAAATCATCGCACTGACTTGGGTAACCAAATTCATGACATTTATGTAGACAAGCTAACAGCCACAGAAAATTTAAAGGACTATTTAAAACGATTAAACTTAGCTTGTCAAGTTTATGTTGCTCTTAAAGAACATGACGAATGCTTGAAAGAACGAATTGAATCAGAGTCTAAGCATCAGAAAGTAAGAAAAAAAATGACTAATACAATAGCCCTACAGAATGTTATTATTGAAACTAAAAAGCAAAGCGAAAATGTACTCCAGGATCATGTTAACAACTGGAGGAAAAAGCTCTTTCGCATGATACAAAAATTCCAATTGTTTGTGACTTATTGTCTGAATACTGTCCCAGGAACTGCAGATTTTTTCCTAAATTTGGAAAAGTTAATGTTGTTACAAATTAACCTTGTTCTCGAAAAACCTTCTGATAAAAGTATATTTGAAGCTGAAGAAGAAATATTTGATATTCCGCTGATACTACCAAAGCCTTTTTATGTGTTCTGTGACAAAGGTTACAAGGCCAAAATGGATCACAGTTTATGTTCGAAACATGGTGGTAAGGCTAGTGCTAGTAGTTTGCCTTTATCTGCAGTTATTGTCAATAAGCATTGTCTCTACGCGGCCTGTGACAACTTTGACCAGTTCAAATATGGATTAAACGAATATCTCCACGGTAATAGAGAAGACGACAGTGCTGTTCAAGATGATCACGTCTATGAAAATATTGAACCTTTGAGAAAGAAATCGCCGCATAAGTTATTTGAGGTAAAACCTGAAAGTTCTATAATGCAAGTACTACAACAAGAGATTAATGATTTACAGGAACTATACTTAACAAAGAAGCCTGAAACGTGCAATTTTTGTAAAATGCCTAATTGTTCATGTACTTTGCGAGAAGGTGTGTCAGTGGTCAACAGTAGGATAACCAAAACCAAAGTAAAATCTACAGAACCACCAAACGAAAATAATCCATCATCGGTCAAAGATATCAAATTGTTCCACGAGAAAGAACCTAAACGGGAAAATTTTCTTCCGCACATGGAGTCCAAAAATTGTGATTGTAGCAAAATGTGTAAAGCTAACCCGTTGCCTTCCTACATGACAAAAACGGATTACGGACAGTCCTTAATACCTAAATACGAGATTTGTCCGCGTGCAACGTTGAACGAGTTAGTAAAAATGGCAAGGAAAAGTGTTCCTGCTAGGAGTGTAACTGCACCAGCCCAGTCCAAAAAGAAAGATGCAAGCACTCAATACAATGATGAAGAATTTAACAGCATTTGCGCGTGTGTCGCTGACGAAACGGACAGATGGATCAAGAACACCAACAGCACCTACATTTGGGATCTGGAAGATTTGGCAGATCTTAGTCAGTTTCTAGATGTCTCAGGATCATCATCACAAGAAAGCAGATTATTTGCACAAGCTAGAGCACAGTCTTTGAAAAGTCTCTTCGAAAACCTAACCATCTCCCATTTCTGTTAAACACGGAATAATGACGTAGGTACCTTTTTTGAAGGATTTATTTATTTTTAGTGTTTTTTAAGTTTAGAGTTAAGTTTTGAAGTTTGTTATTAGATTTTCCTTTTATAATAAATATTTAAGTTTATTCTATTTATAAGGGTTTGTCTTCATATTGTGATAAAATTTATCGAATAATTGTTGCCCAATAGGTACGTTGTTGTCACCGACTTTCGTGTGCATCTTTTAACATTCAGGATAGCTGATCTGGTTAGCTGATTTTTTATTAAAAATCATGCTTTTGCTATCTACATAGATAGGATCCTTTATGTTGATTCTAGTAGGCTTATACATACGTTAAAACAGACACTATGGTAAGCTTTTGGCATTTCAGTTAAGATAATCTAATTGCCAAATTAAGTTAATTTTCATGTATATTTTATATTGATTTGCTTAAATGTAATTATATTCAATTAACACCACAATGGAGAGTCTCAGCGAAAATTCAAAGTTAAGAAAGTATTACTTAAAAGAACAAAAAGTGCCTACACAAAGTGTTATAAGAACAATAATGTCTGATAAGCTGGCGGATGTTTTGTTTAAATCTTTAAGCCCAAAGTTTAAGGGCCTAAGTGGATTTGACCATCCTAATAAAGGTGCTGGCAATAATTGGGTCATATGTCCAAAACAAAATCTTGACAAAAGCAGAGCTGTATTGAAACCACTGGACGAAAAACATTTTGCCAAATTTAACCACACAGGAATTGAAGAGTTTGGAGAACAAGCATTACTAGCTCATCGAACAGCTTCAAAGAAAGAAAGAGATAAAATAGTTTTCGAAGCTGACATTGCTTGGCGAAATAAAATCAAAAAAGATATAAATGAATATTGGAAAGAAAAGGTCAAAATATGTGAAAGATGTAACGCAGATAGAATACGGGACGTGTTCCATTTATTTTCAGATGTGTATCAAAAGTCGTTTAAAAAGATAGAGAAGGTCTTTCACGAAGCTATTAAGTCAGACGTGGAAACGACGCTATTAAGTAAACAGATGCTAATTAAAAAACGATATAATAAATTTTATAAAATTCAGTTGACTCGCTTAACAGAGGAATTCGAAAATAAAATTAATAAAGAAAAAGCAAGGTTAAAAGCAGAATTTATTAACAATGTGGAAAACAGTCGAACTGATATGGCAACAAAAGTTCACGATTTAAATGCGGACAAACATGAAGTCTACGAAAGTATGAGGAAGTTCTTGGAATGTCAAAAGATTGCTTGTCAATTATACGTTTTACTAAAGGAGAAAGAAGAATGTTTAAACGAAATTAAAGAATTGAAATATAAACACAGCGAGCATGTGCAGACATTGACAGAACAAACAAAATGGCAAGATGTGGAAATTAGGCTAGCGGAACAGAAAGAAAAGAAACAAGCCGAGCTCAATTCCATGTGGGTAAAGAAAGTTCGCCATGTTGTAGATAATTTTCAAAAGTTTATCGCTTATTCTTTATATGTCCTACCGCAACAAGCAGAATTTTTCATAAACATAGAGAAACTAATGCTGTTACAATTAAACGAAGCACTTGAAAATCCAAGCACTGAAAATATGTTCGAACCGGAAAAAGAACTATTTCACACTCCTTTACCACAAGCAAAGCCTTTTTATTTGTTCTGCGTCAAGGGTTACAAGGCTAAAATCGATCAAGATGTATGTCTAAAACATAGGCCCAGTGATTCGATGTTACCTGCAGTAATCATCAACGGGAGATGTTTATATGGAGATTGTGGCAACTTTGCACAGTTTACTGACGAAATTAAAGACTACAGCTTTATAAAACATTTACAGAACGCTGATGTGAATGATGATATTGATTACGGACATGTTGAGCCAGTAAAATACAGTGAGACGCAGCAGCTATTTGAACTAAAACTACAAAGCTCGTTAATGAACATGTTACAACACGAACTGTCAGGAATAAACAACGTGCCTTCAAGAACAGATGACATATCGAATTATTACAATACATTTTTTGAAGACTCAGATATATTGTCAGGTGAAAATGAGGATGACATAAATGAGGCTTCAGTTCCATCTACATCAGAGAAAAGAGAGATTCCATTTTCGGAAATAAGACATGATACAGAATACGGAAGAGAATCTAAATTGAAAAGTTACTTCGAATATGGGTCGGCCCAAACTCGCGACTGCATCAAAAAACCCGTTGTTCGAATACCACCGTATATGATGGACATGTCTAAGTATGGAACATTAGAGGTGCCTAACTATGAGAGATGTTCCGAAGCAACTTTGAAAAAGATGGTAAAAAAAGCAAGAAAGGTAGAAAAATTACCTCAAGGCACACCTAAAGCAATATCCAAAGTGAAAGACGCGGCAACTCAGTATTTTGACGAAGAATTCAATTATATTTGCCAGTGTTTGGGTCAGAGTAATTTCGATACAGAGAACCCAGTACCTATCTAACTTTATTTGAACTAAAGTTGACACGACGTTAGGTATGTCTCTGTGATCTAATAAAACGTTTGAAAATTTGCAAGACCTGACGATTTTTTTGTAAGATTCGATTGGATGTGCCCATAAATCACTGATTGAAGTTAGGAAACGCGCCGGACCAATGAGGTCGTAATATAAAGATAAGCTGTATACAGGTGGACACAAAACCGCTTTACTGAAAAAGAATATCCTACATAGGGGCCCTCAGATATACTTACAACAAACTTCCGCAAAAATTAAAAGATTTGCCGACAAAATTATTTAAAAAGTCTTTAGTTAAAATTTTACAGAACAGATGCTACTACAACATTAACGATTTCCTAAATGATGAATATTAGATTAAAAATTGTTACTGTAAATATTAAGTATTAATCAGCATATTAGATTAAAAATTGTTACTGTAAATATTAAGTATTATTATTATTTGTATGTCTTTACCAATCACGGGACCACAGGGTCCCGGTCATTTGGAAGGCGTACGAGGGGCCGGAGCCAACTGCGCAGAGGCCCTTTAGACAACTTTAATCTAAATGAAATGGGACACTAACCGGCGACTATCCCTGTATGCACTATGGAAATGCACCCAAGGACAGTCTCCGGTTAGTGTAGGACTATTGCGGATAATGGAAACAGGGGATAAGACTATGGGTGTGGATTGTTATGGACTGGTATGATGGGAACTATGGAAGGACTATGGCACCTGCCGAAACAATGTAATAAATACACGTAAAAATGGCAGGTGGAGACTCGCCAACTCACCGACCGGGCCCCCGGGAATGGTTGCTAGTAATAGCAACAGAGGGACAACGGAAATGTGAGTGGCTGGAGGGTGAAGAAACTGCCACCAGCTTTCTACTCAGATCATCTGCATCTGCCTAAGCATCCTGCATCACTGGCCCACTCGCCGCTTACGAACAGCTTCCACCCTCCGAGCAGGATCACTACTCTCGCGACTCCACTCTGGACGGCCAATGAAGGCAAGCCAGAGGTGGGAGACCTGTTCCTCGTCATCGTCCACTCCGGCCAGCCAATGAAGGCAAGCCGGAGATGAGGAACGGTGACTTCTCCCTGGAGCAATCGGGATGATGGTAGCCCGCGGGATCGCTAATTCCCGTCACCTCGCCTCAAGGTGCCCTGCGGGCTTATTATTATTATTATTTTTTATTTAGCATTTTTCTTTCATTTTAGTTTAGTCGTTTTTTTATTTTTATTTAGAGTTTTAATGTAAAAATGTTTAATATTATAAGTTTTAAGATAATTAAGTTAAATTAGTTGTCAATGTCAACTACTTAGTCGTTATATAACAAATACTTTGCATGCCGTAAGGCGAAATGTATTGAGACAATATAAATTAACATGTCACCATATCTGTAACATACATTTTCTGCAAATAAATTATTTCTATTTCTAATTCTAAATAATAGACATAAACAAAAGAAACCAATTATGATAATTTTAAATGGTTTGTTTAATTCCTACTTACATACGTATGTAGGTACATTGTTACCGGTGACATTGAACGTCAAAGCTCTGGAAATAAAAATCACTTGGTCGCGTACCTACTACACACGATATCTTGGGATTGGAGAGGTTAGACAAGGCGTTGCAATCATCAATGCCTTTACCTTCGGGCCACCACGACTTCATCTCAAAATCATAAAACCTAACGAAACCACAATATTTTTCCCACAATTTCTAAGTATTATTCCTAGCCTTAATCATACACGTTTAGATAGCGTTGCGTAGTAAAACTTCTACTATAAGGTTGTAGTCGCAACAACAGGGATGTTATATCTGTAATAAAAACTTTTTGTGTGTTTACTTTCTTCGATATCTTCTTTGATTTGATCTTTTGACATGCGTTCTTAAAACATTGTCAAATTCTAATTACTTATTTTTATTTGTATTTATGATAACATTTTATTTCTTTTATAATTAATTATCTGTAAACTCTATTTGCTGCCATGGATGTAAATCGAACAAAACAAATGAGCGATAACTATTATTTAAGAGAATATTACCTGAAAACAGGTCAGGCTCCCACTCAGAGTGTTATGAAGGAGAAAATGCAAGCACCTCTTGCAGCAATATATTTCAAGATGATGAATCCGAAGCTGAAGGTATTAGCAGGACTCGAACCTCCAATGAAAGGCGCTGGCGGCGACTGGTACGTGCCTCCCAAAGATATTTTAGAAGGAAGAGCAGTCCTAAAACCTTTGAAAAAAGAATACCTGTCCAAACTAAACTACCTTGGGATCGACAATATTTGTATGAAGATTGTCGAACAGCGACAACAATGCATGAAAGAAGAGCAAAAGAAGATGATTGCTGATAACGATGAGAAGTGGATAGCTTTCGTTAAAGCTGAAAGTGCTCAGTGCTTCGAAACACTCTCCAATGAAGCGGCGACGAAAAATACGCAAATATTGCAGAGAGCAAACAAAGAATTTTCTATTTTATATGAAAGATCCATAAATAAATTGGAATCATTGATGTATGAAGCTGCTTGCAGTGAGATTAAAAGAATACAGAATGATGCCCGTAAAGCTATGTCAGAAAAATGTGATATGGTAGTTTCACTTCAAGCAAGACGTACATACGACAACTTTAAGGATAAACTGGAAACAGAGAAGACAAAACTGAAAATGGAATTTATTGAAAAACTAGAAAAGCAGCGCACGGATGTCGGTACACAAATACACGATGTCATATTAGAAAAGCATGTTGCTATTGAGAAGTCAAGACAATATATGCAATGCCTAAGCCTAGCTTGCCAGGTCTATGTAGCTTTGAAAGAGAGGGAAGAATGCGAAAAAGAAATTAAATATCCTGAACGCTTGCACAAGAAAAAAGTAAAGGCTTTAAAAGATGAAATAGCATATAAAGACTACGAAATTTTTATGAAAATAAAAAAAGAACAAGCACAGCGAGAGCTGAACGAATCGTGGAAGAAGAAAGTTGTACGCATCGTAAAAACCTTCCAAATGTTTGTGTCATATTGTTTGAGTTTATTACCAAATCATGCAGACTTTTTTATTGATTTGGAAAAGATACTGTTGCTACACTTGGATGAAGTTTTGGAAAATCCAAAAGCTGAGAGCATCTTTGAAGGTGAAGTGGAACATCATGAGTTCCCTGCACCCAATCCGCATCCTTACTACCTCTGTTGTGATAAAAGGTTCACTACAAAAGAACTTCCGATTCGTAAAGAACTTTGCCCAAAGCATTGCACATCTAGTGCTTCTAATATACCAGTCGTGGTTATAAACAAGCGCCTCATTTATGCGGCTTGTGACAACTTCCAACAGTTCACGAACAAAGTAAAGGATTATTTACATGGTCACAGAGGGGATGATATCGATTTCGAAGATCGACATGATTATACACAGGATGTGCCAGTAACATATACAAAGTCGCAGCAATTATTGGAACTCAAGTTAGAAAGTTCTTTCTTACAAATACTTCAGCAAGAATACGAGAACGTAAGGGAGGTTCCTGTCGTATGTGAATATTGCAAATCACCTTACTGTTTCTGCACGCAGAATTACGGCGAAAAAATAAAATTAACCCAAATAACAGTTAAACCTAAACCACCTGCTCGTATTTCTCAAGCTAAACCGAATACTTATATCGATGTAAAAACTAATTTCCCAGCAGATAAATATTATGAGCCTTATGTTAAGCCCAAAAGGTGCCAATGTGGTAAGATGGCTAAAAAACACCTCCAGCAGTTGTTGCCTGCGTACATGAGAAGTAAATCAATCGATGAAGCTTCTTTGCCAGATTATGAGCCATGCCCGCTTCATATGATCAAGAAAATGGCTCGAGATGCAAGGGGGCGCAAATCTGGTTTGCCTGTTGAACGAAAGCATTCAAAAAGCAGAGACATAGCTACTCAGTATGAAGATGAGGAATTTAAATTACTGTGCGAATGTTTGTCTGCTGAAGCCTTCCGAAGTTTGTGGGATGACCGAACGGTTACCGGCTCCAAACTGTACTATACTTCAATAACGGCCAGTCAGTTTCAATTTATCAATCCCTTTTCATCATCCACGGAGTCTAATCGGGACGGTTCCTGTACTGAAGATGAGGCACATGCATCAAAGGATTGGCCTGATTCGCCTGATATTGAAGAATTATTCAAGGCTGTTCGTAAATAACTTTTGCTTCATTTTCTTTATAAACGTTTCCATGTGACGTGTACCGATCTTCTAATTATTGTTAAAATAAATTCTGTATTAATTAATTTCTGTTTAAATAAATCGAAACGTATTAATAAAAAAACTGTGATGCCTTCTCATTGAAATCTCACTAACTGCTGTCGGATGAGACTGTTTTTATTTTTAATCAAGCTCTTGCCCTTAGTGCCAGCTAGCTAAGTTTAGTATCGATGACGCTGGCATTTGTACCGAGCGAATCTTTGACTTTACAGAGTTACACACCATAGCGACCAGTCCTCAGCTATGCTATTCTCAAAAGTTTATTTGCGAAATCACTTGTTTCGTATTCTCAAATGGAGTGAAATCTACTTTAGCGCCACCATATGAATAAAGAAGTGAAAGGAACTAAAACATGAGTATTTTGTCGTTTGTGTACAGGTAAGATGTTATGCGAAGTGGTTTGCGACTTTCGAGATGAGTTACGAGGCGATTTACCAGCTTTAAGCTCTGCAGTGCAAATACGATCACATTTATGTAAAATAACGTACCTCTGAGGGTTTGAGCGTATTAACAAATAAAAACGTATTTCTAGTCTATAAAAATCTTTTATTAAAAAAATCACTGTAATATTGTGTTTAGTCGGCGTGGTTGCCGAGGCATCCCCACCGACACCGCCTACGCACAGGATCTGGCAAATACAGTAAAGTTAACAATTACTCTATCATATGGTGATCTTACAAGCTCGCCGCTGGGGCGAGCGGTACATACACAAACATTATTTATTCAATTACAACTAAACATAAGCAAATCGGAACAGAAACAAATGCTATCGAATGATTCAATTATAAAATAAATACATTTACATATTATTTATTATTAGACACAGATTGGTAGAAATGTAACCGACCACGACGCGCACGCCGACTTTATAATATTTTGTCTCTCGAACGGAGAGAGGCTGCCCGCTGGAACCATTCGGTCGCTTCTCGAGTCCGAAACACCCATTCGCTATGTGAACCGATAATCTTAAGTAGTAAGGTCAGTCGTAGAGACCTGCGGCCGGCGCCAGTGGGTGCGCGCGCCGCTTAGCTGTACAGGTCGTCGTCGCCGCCCTCCTCCTGGAACGTCGGCTGGTCCCCGCCCGACGTACCCGTGCCGCCCGCCGCGCCCCCGCTCGCAGGGAACCTGCGACACACGCACTCTTACTCTCCGCTCCCAATACATAACAACAATTATTTACTTTAGCCGTTTTTACAATCACGTAACTTAGTTCACATCATATCTATTACAATTTCTAAGTATAACTAGGACAGCCCTGGGGTAATTGGTTGTTTTAAACAAGCTTTCGGACTAATCAGCATAGGTACTCTAAAACCTGGCGAACTCACCAAAACCAAATACGTGATGCCACCTAAGTGAATTGTAAATTGCAAAAAACAGTTGCTTTATGTAGAATATACAATGTGATGTACAATCTGATTAAAGTTAGTATCTTATTCGAAACAAGTTAGAAAAAGTCAATAGTATTTACCTGAAGTTGGTACCGAATCCCCTGCTCTGCTGCAGCGTCTGTGCGAACATCTCGTACTTGCGGATGTCGTTGTCTGAGACGGAGCGGCGAGCGAACTTCATGGCCTCCTCGAAGTGGGCGCGGCTGATCTCAGGTACAGGGTCCTCTTCATCCATCTTTTCATCACAACAATAAACGTTAAAAACGAACGAAACCACTCAGCTCTTCAGTAGTTGAGTTTAGACAAAATAAAACATTATGTTTTACTTCTAACTAACGAGCAGTATAATAACTACACAATAGGTATGCCACAAACTATACTCGGAATTTTAATTCCATTCCAGATTTGACAATTTCAGTGTTGCAACGTACGTACGTACGTTGCAACACGTACGTACACGTAATAAATAGTGACGTTGCGAAATTATTCGATATGGAAATCGAATATTTCTGAATCGATTCCTCTCGTTTATAAATTTACTCTTGTAAACTAAGTTTATCAGGAAATAAAATATTTCTGAACCGATAATTTAGTTTTGACAATTAATTAACGATCTGAGACTTTTCTTTTGTAATTGTGTGTGAAATTAATAAAAAACGTGATCGTGAAGGAACGTGACAAATAAAACAGACATTTTATAAATTGTCGCCGTCATCGCTATCGCTATCGTCGTTACTCTGTGTAACATTTATTATGAATTGTGTCTTTGATATTTATTGTCAATTAACATATCTAGCTTACTCATTTTTTCCTTTTCTTTGAAAACATGGGATACACATTTAGATCATTCGGTAGCCGTATTTTTTTGAATGCCTTCCTGAAACTGATTCACTGATTGTTTATCGATTTTTGTGTTCATCACTAAACTGTTATATGTGGTATCATTATTTCACAAAATGACAGTGGTCAATGTCAAATCAGGAATCGAATTAAAAGTCTGACTATAGAGATAAATTTATTAACTGTGTATCATACAAATATTACTATCAAACTTAAATGCACAATTCCTTCTAACCAAGTAATCGAGGATAATGATGTGTTCATCTAATAATTTATTTTATGATGAAAACCTACAACTTTTCGAGCAAAGAGATGAATCGAAAGAACATAGGGGTACTCACGTCCATAACAGCGGCGGCAGTCTGTTGCTGACGAGTGCGCTCGCGCTGGATCTCCGCCTCAATGGCCTGTCGGATGGCCAGCTTGCAGGCACGCTGGCAGATCTCTGTCAGATCGGCACCACTGAAACCTTGAGTCACCTGCAAACAGCAGAAGTTTGTGTAAAAAATGGAATAAAATTTAAGCATATGATATCATAGAAGTTCTTTACTTTATCCAATTTGTACAAAATATAGTTGAATTTTTGTTCAGTATTCATATAAAAGATTTACCTTAGCGATGTATGAGAGATCGACATCTTTGGCGATGGGCGACTTGCGCAGGTTGGCGCGCAGGATGGCCTCACGCGACTTCTCATCGGGCAGTGGGATGTAGATCAGCTGGTCCAGACGTCCAGGTCGCAGGATAGCCGGGTCGATGATATCCGGACGGTTTGTCGCACCTAACACACAAAAGATACATTTTGTATTAGTAATATAAGCAAAGGGCACTCTGCGTCGACTATCACAATATATTTTTCAAGTGACTATCACTTATTTGGCAGTGATGAACTTTAGCCAAAGTCTTAATCTTAACTTAGTGCATTTAGGACAAAAATGAAAGATTCAAAGTCAAATTACTCACCAATGATGAAGACGTTCTTCTTAGCGCCCATACCGTCCATCTCGGTAAGGATTTGGTTGATGACACGATCGGCCGCGCCACCGGCATCGGACACTGAGCCTCCACGAGACTTTGCGATCGAGTCCAGCTCGTCGAAGAATAGTACACAAGGAGACGCTGATCGGGCCTATTGAGCAGTAATAAAGGACACTTATTGTTAAGAGGTTTGAAGAGTCATCAGACTAAGTGGGTACTTCTAGTTCAGTATGTCTCAAGAAGTAACTAACTATAAAAATAAAAAACCATCTTTAACTGCCATTTTTATAAAAAATCTCTTATTTATATCTATCTGAAGAATATGGTATTTTCCAACTAGTCAAATTCAGTACTTTATCTGAGTTGTCAAAAACGACACTAAGGCGTCGTTTACGTTTAAGCGGTGCGTTGTGCGGTTCGTCATACATTGCTCGTGATGTTCATAGTTTGTGTTTGCACGGCCTTTGACACGACTTGATACTGTAATGTACGACAAACGAAATACGCGCCGCGCAACGCCCCGCGTGTACGTAAAAGAGACCTAAGATTTTTCTATGAAATAGCATACTTATTTCACTTTAATTATCCGAATCCATATTTATACATATCGTAACATTTATAAATAAATGTGAGATTTAGGTTAGGTTAGGTTAGGTTTTGTAAGCTTGAAGTAATATTTTTTTTGACCAAGGACTCAACCCAATTGCTTTTTGTATGAACAAAAATTTTTGTAAAAATATAAAATATTAGTAGAATCAAGATTGGAGATTTGAGATGATCAAGACTAAGGTTGATTATTAATATGGACAGTTAGAGCGTAAATAAATGTTGTTCAGATAGAATTGTCTAGAAAAAATTCACGAAGAAAACAGTAATTCACGATTATATATAAAATGATTCTGTGTACAAACCTTGTCAAAGATGTCTCGCACGTTAGCCTCGGACTCTCCGAACCACATGGTGAGGAGTTCAGGTCCCTTCACGGAGATAAAGTTGGCCTGGCACTCGTTAGCGATAGCCTTAGCCAGCAGAGTCTTACCTGTTTTCAGACAAACATGTAATTGAGTACAATTGTAAGTTCAGCAAGTACTTGTAGATTTAGAAGTGATTTGATGATTATGATTTAATTTTTGAAGTATACTAGCTGACCTGGCGGATTCCCTAAGTTTAGATAGCGAACTGACAAACTCCCCAAGTTTAGATAAGGTTAATATTGTTCCTTATCAAATATCTAGTGTCACTTTAAAGGACAGTCATCAGTATTAGAAGTAAAATTTTTAGTCAGTTGGTTGTGTTTCAGTCTTTTAGCAAGACTAACTAACAGCAATTAGTTTTTATATGACAAGACAAGATTTTTTCAACCTAATTGGCTCTCTTCATAGTTTTGTTTGATAAAATATAACATTACACTTTAATTTACTTTTTTAGAACAGTTTACTCCTTCTTTGGACTTTCTTTGCTTCCGGAGCTGATAAATAGCGAATAATATGGTTTTTACATAATTAAATTCAACATACCGCAACCAGGTGGTCCATAGAAGAGCACACCCCTGGAGGGCTGCATGCCGAACTTGAGGAACTTGTCGGGGTGCTCCACCGGGTACTGCACCAGTTCCTGCAGCTCGCGCTTGACGTTCTGCAGGCCTCCGATGTCGCCCCATGTCACGTTCGGCACTTCCACGACTGTCTCACGCAGAGCCGATGGTGACGACTTCGTCATCGCGTACTGTAC